TTGGTCTCGAAGATTGGTTCGAACTTAATAATTATTCCCGAGCTCTAAAGTTGGGATTTAACAAAAGTTTAGACTCGACGTTTAGACTGGTGTGTTCCAACAATATGTCTGCCTTACTATTATTAGCCAGGGTGATTTTCAAAATTTCACAATTTTTGAATCATCTTTGAAGATCACAAACTGTCAAGTAGTACAAGCTCATCTTTTCATCTTTCATTTTGAATGCTCCCCAACGACAAGTCGTGAATCACTGAAAATCATGATATATTCAATTTAAAGGCTATTGGCGAGCTCTAAAACAATGACGACTGCCTTATATTCCGCCTAATCGTTGGCGGCTTTGAATTCAAATATGAGTGTGCACTAAATTTTCGTTAGCTCATCTGGGTTGTTAATTATGACACCTGCCCCCGAGCCCAAGGTATTAGATGCTACATCCACAAATATTTCCCAAGAGTTAACCTCAGTGGTCGAATTATACTCTGGCCCCCGAGGTCTTAGGGTGAGCTTTGAGATGAAGCCGGCTAAGAACTATGCTTTAATAAAAGGCTAAGGCTTGAATTCTATATCGAATTTACTAAGTTCAATTGCCAATTTTGACAATCTTCTTGAGAGTCGGGCATCTGGAGTATTTGTCTGATTGGTTGGTCCGTGAGCATCGCAATTGGATGTTATTGAAAATATTGTCGTAGCTTTCGTGCTGCCACAACCAGGGCAAGGGCAAGTTGTTCAACCAATGTGTACCTGGTTTCCGTGCCAAGTAACACCTTGCTTACATAATATATGGGTTGTTGAGCCTTTTTAACTTCCTTGACTAGTACACCACTTACTGTGTTTCGAGAAATAGGTAATACAAAAACAATGTATCTTCAGGCTCAAGTTTTGTCAGAACTGGCGGAGTTGCCAATGTTTGTTTGAGCTCTTCAAAAGCCCTTTCACATTCTTCATTCCATGGATATTAAGGCATGTATCTTGTCTGCATTAGCTTCGATTCCCCTATGCGTGATCATAAAGCCCAAGAATTTACCTGAGGCCGCCCCAAAAGTGCACTTTGCTGGGTTTAACTTCATCTTATACTTTCGAATTGTAGTGAACACCTTCTCAAGGTCGACGATATGTTTATCCACCTGTTTACTCTTGACCACCATGTCGTCAACATAAACCTCGATATTTTTCCCGATTAAATTAGCAAAGACTTTGTTAATGAGCCTTTGGTATGTTATCCTTGCATTTTTCAAACCAAATGGCATGACCTTATAACAATATATGGCATAGTCAGCTATGAATGATGTCTTCTCTTGGTCCTCCCCAGCCATAAGGATCTGATGATAGCCTGAGAATGCATCAAGAAAGCTGTACAATTTGTGGCCTAATGTTCTATCTAAAAGTTTGTCAATCCAAGGTAGGGGATAGCTGTCTCTTAGACATACTTTGTTAAGATATTTAAAGTCAATACACAGCCTCCATTTGCTGTTAGCTTTCTTGACGAAAAAAACACCGGGGAGACAATCAGGGTATTGAACCTCCTGAATGAGCCGAGCATTGATAAGTTTATTAATTTCTTCACAAATAACCTCTTAACGATCTGCCCCAAATTGCCACTTCCTTTGCTTAACTAGTTTAGCCCCTGGTCTAACATTGAGTCTATGAACTACCATCCCGATATCGATCCCAGGAATGTCCTCAATCTTCCACACGAATAGATCAATGTTACGAGACAGACACTTAACAAATTCAACCATAAGAATAGCGTCAAGATCCTGACCAACTATCACTTTTTTGCCATACTCGAGCTCGACCTCTATCAATTCTTCCATTGGAGCAAATCTCTCTTAATGCTCGAGCTCAAGCTCAGGAGTTGATAGTTGCATGATTTCAATTTTTATTCCTCGAACGCTAGTTACATAGCACTGCCTTGCTACTATTTGATTCCCACGCACAATCCCTACACCGTTACTTGTATGAAACTTCATAGCCAGGTAGAAGGTGGATATAATGACTTTGATTTTATTGAGTAGTGGTCTCCCAAGGATGACTTCGTCGCTCGCAAACGCCAATGGCAACTGTCGTCGACGCAGACAATCGTCAACAATGACTTTTTTTATTTCTTATCTTTGAATTCAAAGTTGTATTTCAGTAGCAATTCGATGTGAAACTTCATGCAAATCTTTCTTTGTTTCAAATAGATGATCGACGTACAAATCCTCATAATCGAGAACCACACGTGAAGAAGTAGATGACAGTCCACTCGATCCAACCCCTACGCTCCCACCGAACTTATGTCTCTAACGGGATGAAGCAATCAAATCCTCATTTGTAAATTCATTGTCATTCTCGTTGTTGTGAACTACCGACGAAATTTTGTGTGTAACAGTGATATCACGATGAGGAACAACTGCTCAGGAATAACAACATCATCCCCATGAGCTATCTTCACCGTGTCCCAAAAATCATTGGCATTGTGATCCCTTCCATTCGAATTTTCCTGTTCAACTTCGGCGACATCCTTACTCACTAAAGTCACCCTAAACCCAAAGAGGAGTAGTGTACATTTTATTCAATTCAAATAGATAATTCACTACTTCATCACAAGTAACCTTCATAGGTGTAATCGAAATCTCAGATCCATATCATACCAAGAGAGGTCGACATTAAGTTTGTTTTGTAAAGCATGGTATATTTTCGCATATGTTGTATTTTCTGTTATGAAAATTGGAGTACTACCACGTTTATCGCTTATCCGTCTCCATACATATTGATCTTTCTCATCCAATTTGAAGTCACTAAAGTAACAAACAGGTATTACAACCATATCTGCTAGAAAAAACAATTTTTTTTTAAGAAACATATAGTTGAAAATTCGGCTTTTAACAGGAATTAAAAAAAAATGCAAAACAGCCTAAACAAAATTTTTTAAAAGAAAATCTATAGTCGAAAATTCAGTTTTTAACAAGAATTAAAAAAAAAGTCGCCTGTTTGTTGGCTGTTTAAACATCCAACCGGTTGTTTAAATAGTCATCCAACTGTTTCTCACCAGACTCATTTCATTTGAAAGATGAAGATGAATCCTTTTTTCTCGTTCATGTTTTAAAAAATTATAGATCTGTTAAAATTTTTTATCTACATTAACTATCTATGTCAAAATAAATTTGACGATTAAAACGTATACTGATTTAACGAAAACGAAATTAAATATACGTAAACATACTTGTCGATTCGAAGTGATTGATAAAAAAAAAAATTCAGGTTTCCGCGTTTGATAAATTTTTTAGATTTTAAGATTGAAACAGATGAAAGATGAGAGAGTTTTTATCCGTATTGAAATAAATAGATAATAAAAGTTAGTTGATTTTGAAATTTTATGTAGCGAGTGTTTGATTTTTATTTATTTATTAAAGGATAGTATTATCTTTTAAACAAAATTATATTTTGTAATTATTTTATATACTTAAGGGCGTTTTTATCTTTTATTAAGTGCACTACAATTTTCTTATTTACTTAAATATCATTAAATAAAATTACATAATTAGAGTTTTAATATACTTTTTAATTAAATAAATTATTGTTACACCATTTCTTTTTTTCTTTTTCCTTAACATCTCATTATTGAGTTGGAACTATTGGATGGAAGAATATCATCTTTCTGACATGTACTCATTAAACGCCTCATCGAACGCAATCTATTCCACCATTTATGTTTCATTTTATTCATTATGCTTGAGGTATTTTCATTAATTTGCTATAGCAAGGGAGAGGACTGAGAAACATTCAAAAACTCCCTTGTTGTCAGAAATTGGCTCAACTCACAATCTTGAAGATTACGTGGCTTGCCCTCGTCCCCAATATCATCTAAACTACTTCCACTCGCACCATGTGAATACCCAGTTCTACATACAAATTCTTCACTCGAAACAACTCCACTCCACAAATCAAAAGCATCACTAGACCAGCTTGATGCAGAAGATTGGCTTAAAGAAAATTCATGCCCAGTAATCAAGGTTCTAAGTACAATCCCACAAGTCTCCCAACATCTCCTTTGAAGACGTGTTGGTTTTTACAATCGTCAAACTAGTTATGTAAATTGTCTCCTTTCAACTTATCTGGGCTCAATCCCATCCATCTAATGAATTTCCTACGTTGCTATGTAATGCTTTAAGGACACCTCAACCATATGTCATATTGACAAATATCACTCCTAGGACACCCATAACTTGATTTGGATTCTGCTGCAATGTGCTCTGAGGCATCAAAGAATTGAGCTTCTTCATCATTGTCACTGAAGTGCTTAACTTGGTTATTGTTATAATACATTCTGAGCGTAATTGAGAAGCAAGAAGAATTGCCGAAGAAATTCTTAGAAACACGAAAGAAATCGAGGCGCTATTGAGGAAGATTGAAGGAATGGTGTGGTGTGATTATAAATTTGTTCATTTTAAGTTTTTATTGAATAGTGAGTATAATTATAAATTTGTTGTGGTGTATTTATTGAAAATATATTTTAATTGTGGTGTGATTATAATGTGGTGTAATAATTAAATTTTGTGGTGGTAATATAATTATCCTAGAATGAATTATAATTTGTTGTAATATAAAATGAAGGACAAAACGAAAATAATGATTAAATTTTTGTACAATAAATCAATTCTCATTTTCAACCACACATTTTTCAATAAAATAATATTTTTCATCACATCAATAATCTTTTCTTCTTTTTCAACCACATATTTCCCATCATATCACTATTCAAAATTAATTCTTTTCCCAAAAATCTCTTCCAAATAGGCTATAAGTAAATTTTGTAGTTGTAATATTACTGAATAAGTTGAAAATACGGGGCCAATTTTAAAATTACCCGTCTGTTCAAATACGTCTCTGACCTATAAAATCGAGCACTACTAATTATTAGTTGATTCGCTATAAGCCTCACTGGCTAGACCCTCGTGAATCTCCTCAACTATCAGAAATCGTCTAGGGTTTTTGTAGATGTAGATACTGCAAAAATGTATAACGGACAGGAGATGTGGAACAACAACAATAATCCGGCGCCGCCGGGTACGGGCGGGAGCGGCGGAGCAGGAGTGGCACCGATTATGGCACCAGGGACTAGTGGAGTAGCTCCGCCTGGTCCACCGCCGTCGATTACTCCTTCCTACACTGTTCTTCCGACTGAGGCCCAACTCGACGAGCGAGCCAGGAAATGGATGCAACTTAACTCGAAACGGTATAGCGATAAGAGGAAATTTGGATTTGTGGAGACGCAGAAGGAGGATATGCCTCCTGAGCATGTCCGGAAAATCATTCGGTAAGTTTTCTAGACTCTTGATGCTGCATAATAGTTATGTTCAGCTCTTTTCTCGATCTCCGTAGTGGGTTTTTAGGGTTCCAGTTCCGAATTAATAGCTTCTTGGCGAATTTATGATGTGGGAGTAATTTGAATTGAAGATGATAAATTTAGTGAGATGGAAGTGTAAACCCTTCTAAAAGGTGCTAGAAAAGCGTTCAAGTGAATTGAGCTCTTCAATTGGGCAAAAGGTAATAGGAAATTAGTTGCTAGGTGGAAGCACCGAGGATATGTGGTTAAATGCTTCCCATGTTAGTATGAAAAGGTTTCTAATACCCTGACAAACACTTTCTTTACCCATCTTTGGAGTTGGAGGAGGTTGGTTTAGTGTGGACAATTTAGTCATAGAATCATATATACCTTGTCTACTATACTTCTATCAATTTAAATCTTGTATGCTATTAACATTTTTGGTTTGTGGAAGAGATGATTGGGTTCGTTTTGGTACATACAGATATCTACGTCCTTGATTGTGGCCCCTACCTTGGTTGTGCATCTTAATCATCGTTGTCCTCCTGTTTCAGCACTCATCCTCGAGATCTTCTATCAGTTTAGATCCGACTTTTGTCAAAGACACTTTTGGAAATGATGAATTTGATGTTTCCACCTTAGATAGCTAGAAATTGCTTCTTAGTTTATTGAATTCTAATCATACTTATAGAATCTATTAATTTGGCGAGTAGGGTACCTATTTTATTTAGAATGAACATTTAGTTATAAAATTCTTAGAACCTTATTATAGTAGCCACTACATATTTTAGAGTGTGGATGTGGTGAATTCCCATATTTTCCGTACCTTCGAAAGAAAAGAAGTTTCGGTTGCCGATTTCTTTTTGGCAATTGGATAATGAATTTTGTTATTTGCATTATGGCAGAGATCATGGTGACATGTCATCTAAGAAGTTTCGTCATGATAAGCGTGTCTATCTAGGAGCTCTAAAGTTTGTTCCACATGCTGTTTACAAGCTCCTTGAAAACATGCCCATGCCATGGGAACAGGTACTTGTGTGTTCGATCATTCCTGCAGACTGCGGTCTTTGAAAATTCACATGACTAATTTTCTGATGTGGATCATTTGAGCCATTGTTTGATGTTTGTATTATCTTCCTGTGGTGTTTCTCGGATAGGTCCGTGAAGTGAAGATTCTCTACCATATTACCGGTGCTATTACATTTGTAAATGAAATACCATGGGTTGTTGAACCCATCTATCTGGCTCAGGTATGCTTCTATTTCTACACTTCCCTTTTTGCTGTGTATTTGTTGGTCTCAAGTGTTGCTCCATTGCTCATGACGTTACCTCTCTGTTTTTATTACAGTGGGGTTCTATGTGGATCATGATGCGAAGAGAGAAGAGAGATCGACGACATTTCAAAAGAATGCGTTTTCCACCTTTTGATGATGAAGAACCTCCACTAGATTATGCTGATAATCTTCTGGATGTGGATCCTTTGGAGCCAATTCAACTGGAGCTGGATGAGGAAGAAGATTCAGCTGTTTATACATGGTTCTATGACCATAAGCCTCTAGTGAAAACAAAGCTTATAAATGGCCCCAGCTATCGGAAATGGCATCTCTCGCTTCCAATTATGGCAACTCTTCATCGGCTTGCTGGACAGCTGCTCTCTGATTTGATTGATCGCAATTACTTTTACTTGTTCGACATGGAATCATTTTTTACGGCTAAAGCACTGAACATGTGCATACCTGGTATGTTCAATGCTTAGTCTGTATTTTGGATGCGCCTTATACTTCGTAGGAAACAGTTATGGTCATGTAGATATGAAACTGTGCTTGTGTCTGTGAACCCATGGTGTATATATCTTTATATTTTGGATGTGCTTCATACTTTATTTCTTTGTATTTTGGGGTACATAATTGCTTTTACTTGTTCGACATGGATTCATTTTCTTAAGGTTAAAGCATTGAACATGTGCACATGTGCATACCTGGTATGTTCAATGCTAAGCCTGTATTTTCGATGTGCTTCATACTTCACGGGAAACAATTACAGTCGTAGATATGAAATTGTGCTCGTGTCTGTGTTCCCACGGTATATATATCTTTATATCATTGTGGACATGCATTAAAGTTCTTACATAGCTTCTGATTGATTTACTTCTGTATTGGAAATGCTTTTATTGCAGTGCATTTGTGCTTTGTTTGCTCTACTTTGTGTATTTTCTGAAGACAATTCTTTTGTAGGTGGTCCGAAGTTTGAACCTTTGTATCGTGACATGGAAAAGGGAGACGAGGACTGGAATGAATTTAATGACATTAACAAACTTATCATCCGCTCGCCTCTCAGGACGGAATACAGGATAGCATTCCCTCATCTATATAATAATAGGCCCAGGAAAGTGAAGCTTAGTGTATATCACACTCCAATGGTCATGTATATCAAGACTGAGGATCCTGATCTTCCTGCTTTCTATTATGACCCTCTAATTCACCCCATAACAAGTACCAATAGGGACCAGAGAGAGAAGAAGATTAATGAAGAGGATGATGAAGATTTTCAGTTGCCTGAGGGGGTGGAACCGTTACTAACCAGCACTCCAATTTACACAGATACTACTGCAGCAGGTATTTCACTTTTGTTTGCCCCACGCCCCTTCAACATGAGATCTGGTCGGATGCGGCGTGCTGAAGATATACCCCTTGTATCAGACTGGTTCAAGGAGCACTGGTATGAAAAGTTCTTCACATTGTTATTCAAATATGTCCACTTTTCATGGATGTCTAATTTTGCTTAATATTCTCATGGATATGGTTTTTTGTAGTCCTCCTTCATATCCCGTCAAAGTCCGAGTCAGTTACCAGAAACTGCTGAAATGTTTTGTGTTAAATGAGCTGCATCACAGACCACCTAAGGCTCAAAAGAAGAAGCACCTGTTTAGGTCTCTCCAAGCTACAAAGTTTTTTCAGACCACAGAACTTGATTGGGCTGAGGCTGGTCTACAAGTTTGCAAGCAAGGGTACAATATGCTGAATCTGTTGATCCACAGGAAGAATCTGAACTACCTCCACCTTGATTACAATTTCAACCTAAAGCCTGTGAAGACCCTCACCACTAAGGAACGTAAAAAATCACGGTTCGGTAATGCTTTTCATCTTTGTCGTGAAATTCTGCGTTTGACAAAGCTTGTAGTTGATGCAAATATCCAGTTCCGGCTGGGAAATGTCGACGCATTTCAATTGGCTGATGGGTTGCAGTATATCTTCTCACACGTTGGCCAGTTGACGGGTATGTATCGTTATAAATATAGGCTTATGCGGCAGATTCGAATGTGTAAAGACTTGAAGCACTTGATTTATTACCGATTTAATACTGGACCGGTTGGGAAAGGACCGGGATGTGGTTTCTGGGCACCTATGTGGAGGGTGTGGTTGTTTTTTCTCCGTGGCATAGTACCTCTCCTGGAAAGGTGGTTGGGAAATTTACTTGCCAGACAGTTTGAGGGACGACATTCTAAAGGAGTGGCCAAAACAGTGACGAAGCAGCGTGTTGAAAGCCACTTCGATTTGGAGCTTCGTGCTGCTGTTATGCATGATGTTCTTGATGCTATGCCAGGTAATTATCCTCCAAGGATGCTTTCTTACAACCCCACTCCCAACCAAAAAAGGGGAATAAAGAAAATAAAGTAAATGAACAATACTACAACTCATCCTTTTATGGATATTTTGAACTTCCTTTTGTTTATATATATTATTGATTGAATCTGCAGAGGGTATTAAGCAAAATAAGGCGAGAACTATCTTGCAGCATCTGAGCGAAGCATGGCGCTGTTGGAAGGCAAATATTCCTTGGAAGGTGCTTCAGCTTTTAGATTGTTACTTTTCACTAGTTTCATGATGCAATACTTCCGTATTTATCTTTTCTCTATTTAAGTGGATTCTTGGACTCCTCAGGTACCTGGTTTGCCTGTTCCAATCGAGAACATGATTCTGCGATATGTCAAGTCAAAAGCTGACTGGTGGACAAATGTTGCTCATTATAACCGTGAGCGTATCAGGAGAGGGGCAACAGTGGACAAGACAGTTTGTCGAAAGAATCTTGGACGATTGACCCGCCTTTGGTTGAAGGCTGAACAGGTGAATGCATATTTTAATCTCCAGTAGAAAACATCATTGAAATCTGGAAACCTTTTCTGTTTTTCTGGCCTTTTAGTGATAGGCAATTTTCTCTTGGGCCACTCTACTAATTATTGTTCCCCACCCTCCTTCCCAGGAACGCCAACACAACTATTTAAAAGATGGTCCATATGTCACTCCAGAAGAAGCTGTGGCTATATATACAACCACTGTGCATTGGTTGGAATCAAGAAAATTCTCTCCGATTCCATTTCCTCCATTGTCTTACAAGCATGACACGAAGCTTCTCATCCTTGCTCTTGAGAGGTTAAAGGAATCTTATAGTGTGGCTGTTAGGTTAAACCAGCTACAAAGAGAAGAGTTGGGTCTTATTGAGCAGGCTTATGATAATCCGCATGAGGCTTTGTCTCGTATTAAACGTCATTTGCTTACACAGCGTGCTTTCAAGGAAGTAAGTTGAGAAAGATGTACTTTTCTATTTATTTTATGATAATGGTTTTTGTTGAAAGGTGAAAACATTTTGCACAATTTCATTGTTATTTTTATTAGTTGTGACATCTTGTGCTAATAATGGAGCATTTCGCAGGTCGGCATTGAGTTCATGGACTTGTACAGTTATTTAATTCCAGTTTATGAGATTGAACCTCTTGAGAAGATCACTGATGCATATCTTGACCAGTATCTATGGTATGAGGGTGACAAACGTCACCTCTTCCCAAATTGGATTAAGCCTGCAGATTCAGAGCCACCCCCGCTGTTGGTCTATAAATGGTGTCAGGGAATAAACAACTTACAAGACATTTGGGACACTAGTGAAGGACAGTGTGTGGTGATGCTTCAGACCAAATTTGAGAAATTTTTTGAAAAGATTGATCTGACCATGCTTAACAGGTGAGTCTTTCACTCACATTGTACATGCATGTGACAAGATATAAATACTATAGTCTAACTTTCTTGTGTTGATTGAATCTTATGTTTCTGCAGGCTTCTGCGACTGGTTCTTGACCATAATATTGCTGACTATGTCACTGCTAAGAACAACGTTGTATTGTCTTACAAGGACATGAGCCACACAAACTCGTATGGTCTCATACGTGGTCTTCAGTTTGCTTCTTTTGTAGTGCAGTACTATGGACTCGTCCTTGATCTTTTGCTGCTTGGTTTGACTCGAGCCAGTGAAATTGCTGGTCCACCCCAGATGCCAAACGAGTTCATTACTTATCATGATACTAGAGTAGAAACAAGACATCCAATTCGTTTATACTCCAGATACATTGACAAGGTGCATATATTATTCCGCTTCACCCATGAAGAAGCTCGGGACCTTATCCAGCGGTATCTCACTGAGCATCCAGATCCGAACAATGAAAATATGGTTGGTTATAACAACAAGAAATGCTGGCCAAGAGATGCCAGGATGAGACTTATGAAGCATGATGGTAATGCTAAATCTTTCTTTATTTTATCAAATACCATGCGAATATAATAATTTCTTCCTCAATTTGTTTTCTTGACTGACGGTTAGCCTGATGTTTAGAGGAATGTAATTGTTCTTTATCAAATTTCTGTATTTCAGTAAATCTTGGTAGAAGTGTTTTCTGGGATATGAAGAACCGTCTTCCTAGAAGCATTACCACTCTTGAATGGGAGAACAGCTTTGTATCTGTCTACAGCAAAGACAATCCAAACTTACTTTTCAGCATGTATGTGTAACTTGTTCCTCTTTGCTTTTACTTTATGATCTATATTTATATGCACATAATGTTCACAGTACATGCTCATATTTAACATGAGTAGTTACCAACTGCCTAAATGTGTAGGTGTGGGTTTGAAGTTCGTATACTGCCCAAGATTAGAATGACTCAAGAGGCTTTCAGCAATACAAGAGATGGAGTTTGGAATCTGCAGAATGAGCAGACAAAAGAACGTACGGCAGTTGCTTTCTTACGGGTAGATGATGAACATATGAAGGTGTTTGAGAATCGTGTAAGACAGATTCTAATGTCCTCAGGTTCGACTACATTCACGAAGATTGTTAACAAATGGAATACAGCACTTATAGGTAATTATTTAATTTCTTTGCCTCCTAATGCCCATGTTCAATGTTTTTACTTTTAACTTTGAGCGTTCTTTTGCTGAAGAGTTTTAATTTACTTCTGCAGGCCTCATGACATATTTCCGGGAAGCAACTGTTCATACACAAGAACTGTTGGATCTGCTGGTAAAATGTGAAAATAAAATACAGACCCGTATTAAGATTGGATTGAACTCGAAGATGCCTAGCAGGTAATGTATCCTTTTTAATCCCTTATGGTTCATATTCCACTTCTTTTTTTGTTCACAAAACATTCGTGAACTTGCTCTGCTTTCAGGTTCCCTCCTGTTATCTTTTACACCCCGAAGGAAATTGGAGGACTCGGAATGTTATCAATGGGTCATATATTGATTCCCCAGAGTGACCTCCGGTATAGTAAACAGACAGATGTTGGCATAACTCATTTTAGGAGTGGAATGAGTCACGAAGAGGACCAGTTGATTCCAAACCTGTATCGTTACATACAGGTACCAGTCTCTACCAGGATTTCATTTTTACCTTTTGTATTATTTTCATATAATTGGTTTTAATCTTTATTTTGCTTTTGGCTTTGTGACAGCCATGGGAGAGCGAGTTCATTGATTCACAACGTGTTTGGGCTGAATATGCATTGAAGAGGCAAGAAGCCCAAGCGCAAAATAGGCGTTTAACTCTGGAAGATTTGGAAGTAAGTTTCACTGCAGATACAATTTTTGTATTGTTCCCCATTGTATTTTAATTCTGTTCCCTATCTCCCCCTTTTTTGTTTTTATCCAATATCGAGAGGTTACACTAACTGAGGTTAAATAAAGGAAGGGGCATTAGATAGTGGCATATATTTCGCGGAGACCTAAATGAGCTTCCATTCTCATGAAGCCTAGATGCAAAATGGCATTCAACTTTGGAATTTCAGGAGGGAGTTTTTGCTGCAGATGCAATTTTTTATTTTGTTCTCATGATTTTATCCTTCTTATGTCCTCTAGAATTCTTTTTTATCCAATAAGTGACGTTTACTCTAATTGAGGATAAATTATGGGAAGACCGACTTTGATAGCCTGGGCATGTCTTTGCTTAAACCTAAATAAAATCCCCTTCACAAAAGCGAACAATCCCTAATAATTCAGGTTATAACAGAAGTATAAAAATATTAAAATTACCTGATGTAGTTGCTAAATATTTGATAATCATTGGACCTTTTGATACATATATCACTAGGTCTACTTGAAAGAATGGAGTGACAAATAGGTACTCAGTGTAATTGACCCCAATTGCAAAGAAGACTTTAGTTCTCATGTTCTTTTCCTTTTTTCCTTTTTCTGTTTCTTTGGGTTGTTGGGGTGAGGTTTTCTTTTTCTTTTTTCCTCTCTTTACCTTTCCGATGTTTTAGGGAGAGGGTAGTTCTGCAACTTTGGTAGGTCAATTTTATTTGTTTGATGCTTTCTAATCAGTAGTTTCTTTGTGCCATTGAACAGTGTCTTACTTTGATCAAATAAGTTTCCCATCTTACATATTTCTATTTGATTTTCAGGATTCATGGGATCGTGGGATACCTCGGATCAATACCTTGTTTCAGAAGGACCGCCACACACTTGCATATGACAAAGGATGGAGGGTACGGACAGATTTTAAGCAGTATCAAGTTCTGAAACAAAATCCATTCTGGTGGACACACCAGAGGCATGATGGGAAGTTGTGGAACTTGAATAACTATCGAACTGATGTTATTCAAGCACTGGGGGGAGTTGAAGGAATTCTCGAGCATACACTGTTCAAAGGAACATAGTAAGTTTTTCTTGCCCTCTCTACTGAATAGCTTTCAATTTTTTGCTATCACCTTGTGCCAACATAGTAGAGAATGGTATATCTATGTATTCTTTTTCTATTTAAATATAATTTTCCTGGCCATGCAATCATGTTCCAACATATTATATAAAGTTCCCATAGGTAACCATAGATTTTATTCTGATAGTTTGGTAGAGCAAACAATTGCAGCATTTCCACTATAAGCATGTTTGGGAAGTGTTTATGAACATTTAAATTATAAATAGATACAAATGAGTGGTGGATATAAGTGGGCAGTCATTGTGGGTAAAAGGTGGCTTGAGTTTTTATGAACAATATATAAACATGAGCCAAACATATGCATAAATATTTTGGGCTTCACTTTGCTTTGGCCTTTGAGAGTTGGATCAGTTGTATTTCATGGTGACAACATTTCTGTTTTTATAACGTCCAAAAATTGATAAATTCGATCTCTTGAAAAAAAAATTTGGGGTTGTTTATGGAGCTTGTTTTCTTTGACGTTTCAGCTTCCCTACTTGGGAAGGTCTTTTCTGGGAGAAGGCTTCAGGTTTCGAGGAGTCCATGAAGTATAAGAAATTGACAAATGCTCAGAGATCTGGGCTCAATCAAATCCCCAATCGAAGATTTACCCTTTGGTGGTCACCCACTATAAATCGAGCAAATGTATATGTTGGTTTCCAGGTGCAGCTGGATCTAACTGGGATATTTATGCACGGAAAGATACCTACCCTAAAGATATCTCTGATTCAGATATTCCGTGCTCACTTGTGGCAGAAGATTCATGAGAGTGTGGTCATGGATCTTTGCCAGGTTTTGGATCAAGAGCTGGATGCATTAGAAATTGAGACTGTTCAGAAAGAAACAATCCATCCAAGGAAGAGTTACAAAATGAACAGCTCATGTGCTGATATTCTTCTCTTTGCTGCCCATAGATGGCCTATGTCAAAGCCCAGTCTTGTAGCCGAGTCCAAGGATGTGTTTGACCAGAAGGCTAGCAATAAATACTGGATAGATGTCCAGCTTCGCTGGGGTGATTATGACTCCCATGATATTGAGCGTTACACCCGGGCAAAGTTCATGGATTACACAACTGATAACATGTCTATTTATCCGTCACCAACTGGTATATTAGTGAGATATGTCTCTTTCTGTTGCTTGCTTTATTCTTTACTAACCTAGTTTATTCTGTATGTAGGGGTCATGATTGGACTTGATCTTGCTTATAACCTGCATTCTGCATTCGGAAACTGGTTCCCTGGGTCAAAACCACTGCTTGCCCAGGCTATGAATAAGATCATGAAGGTACTTTAATATTTATTATAACTTTAGGGGGTTTAAGGGTTCGTTCATTAGTAATTATGCAGTGTTTGATTGTTCCTCTGATAAAGATGAGGATCAACTAATATATCAATTTTTTGTGCGCAGTCAAATCCGGCATTATATGTCCTGAGAGAACGTATAAGGAAAGGGCTGCAGTTGTATTCTTCAGAACCTACAGAGCCTTATTTATCGTCTCAGAACTATGGGGAGATATTCAGCAATCAGATTATCTGGTTTGTTGATGACACAAATGTGTACCGTGTCACAATACACAAGACATTTGAAGGAAATCTCACGACAAAACCCATTAATGGTGCCATTTTTATATTTAACCCTAGGACGGGTCAGCTTTTTCTGAAGGTTTGCACCTGTCACCTGCTGATAATCTATCACCTTTTCAGTTTTTGAAATTTGTTCTTTAAATTATGTCTATCTACTTGTCTCACAGGTCATTCACACAAGTGTTTGGGCTGGGCAAAAGCGACTTGGCCAGCTGGCAAAGTGGAAAACAGCAGAAGAAGTGGCTGCTCTGGTGCGGTCATTGCCTGTTGAAGAACAGCCAAAGCAAATCATCGTGACACGTAAAGGAATGTTGGATCCCCTAGAGGTCCACTTGCTTGATTTCCCAAATATTGTGATAAAGGGAAGTGAGCTACAGTTACCTTTCCAGGCTTGCTTGAAGATTGAGAAATTTGGTGATTTGATTCTGAAGGCCACAGAACCACAAATGGTCTTGTTTAATATATATGATGATTGGTTGAAGAGTATTTCATCCTACACAGCATTCTCTAGACTTATTTTGATCTTGCGAGCTCTTCATGTGAACAATGAGAAGGCTAAGATGTTGCTGAAGCCTGACAAGACAATTGTCACTGAGCCCCATCACATCTGGCCATCTCTATCAGATGAACAGTGGATGAAGGTAAAAGATGGTCTAACAATGTGCATGGTTGGAATAGTGCCTGTTATGTTTTCTTTTCTTTTTTTTTTAAATGAAAAGATTTTTGCTTGGTGCACGTGTACATTTTATTGGGTGTGTGCAGCGTGATTCAGTCTTGCATTTGTTTTGTTGTTTATCTTTGTAATGTGTTGCAGGTTGAGGTTGCCCTTAGAGATCTGATACTTTCTGACTATGCCAAGAAGAACAATGTTAACACGTCCGCTCTGACCCAATCAGAAATTCGTGATATAATTCTTGGGGCTGAGATTACTCCGCCATCGCAGCAACGACAACAAATAGCTGAGATAGAGAAACAGGTAGTTTTCCTCATCTTTCTGTTCTGTGAAGTTTTATTCTCATTGTAATACATCTTCCCTTGACTGTTATGCACTTACCAATTATTGACATCTTAATGATCTCTCAGGCAAAGGAGGCTAGTCAGCTGACAGCAGTCACTACAAGGACCACAAATGTTCATGGAGATGAGTTGATTGTTACTACAACAAGTCCATATGAGCAAGCAGCATATGGGTCTAAAACTGATTGGCGTGTTAGAGCAATATCTGCCACGAATCTCCACCTTAGGGTTAATCACATATATGTGACCTCAGAAGACATTAAGGTACTATTTGAATTTACACTATAGTTGGTTGGTTGGAGGATGAATTATTTCGTGAATTCTTGTATTATTGTAAGTAAAGTTCTCCCAAAAATGGTTTTGTTGAAATTTGTCTGTTCTAATTTGTGCAGGAAACGGGATATACATACATCATGCCCAAGAATATTTTGAAGAAGTTTATATGCATTGCCGATCTGCGCACTCAAATTGCTGGATATATATATGGCATAAGCCCTCCAGACAATCCCCAAGTCAAGGAGATTCGCTGTATTGCCATGCCACCACAGTGGGGAACTCATCAGCAGGTTCATCTTCCGTCAACTCTACCTGAGCACGACTTCATGAATGACTTGGAGCCTTTAGGATGGATGCATACACAGCCGAATGAACTTCCCCAGCTGTCTCCACAGGTTTTTATTTTCCTCATCTTATATGTTCTCTCCCTTAACTTTGCCTGCAATACTTCGTTACTTTTGTTACTGTTTGACGATATTCTCTCCGAACTGACCTATAAAAAATGTTGAATGCAGGATCTAGCCGCTCATGCTCAGATCCTGGCAAACAACAAACAATGGGATGGAGAGAAATGCATAGTTTTGACCTGCAGTTTTACCCCGGGCTCCTGCTCTTTAACTGCATATAAGCTGACCCCATCAGGATATGAATGGGGTAAAAACAACACAGATGCTGGAAGCAATCCCCATGGTTACCTGCCAACCTACTACGAGAAAGTTCAGATGCTTTTGAGTGACCGTTTCCTCGGTTTTTATATGGTAAAGTTATTTTCTTTTTCATTGTTACGAACGACTCTGTTTTTCTTTTATGACATCTGCTCTAGTGCATACGATATATTGTCAATTTTGACTTACAGATACCTGATAACGGTCCCTGGAACTATAATTTTATGGGAGTGAAACACACTGTTGGCATGAAGTACGGAGTGAAACTTGGGGCACCTCGAGAATACTATCATGAAGATCACAGGCCAACGCATTTCCTGGAGTTCAGCAATTTGGAGGAAGCTGAAACTGCTGAAGGAGACCGCGAAGATACCTTCACTTGAAATTCCATGCAAGGTATGCCTTTCCCTAATGTATACGGTGTACTTCATGTAATATTAACTGCTACTCCTAATCTCGGGCCACTCTTCTACAGTATTCCCCAATAGATTCTGACTTTCTTCAATTCTTCCTTGTAACAATTTTTTAGATGTTTCGAGGAAAAGAACTGTTGTCTATATATTCTCCAATTTCAGTAACCTTAACCCATTGAGTGCTCTACCTTTGGCCATTGATGTGTTTGTTTTTCTTTAAACCCTCAATTTTCTCTGCTTGTCGCTACTAACGAGGCCTTGGTTGAATTCTCTTGAGCTCTTTTCAGGTGTTTTAGTTCGCTAAGTTTGAAAAGTCCGAAGAGCGCAGACTAGCTATGGTGCTTGGATACAGTTTTCTGATTGGAGATCCATGGTCACAAACGGTATCTCGTGGCTTTTTGCCTCTGAATGAGCCTGAAGAAACGAAATTCAATTTGAGGATGTCTTTTTGCCTCTGCATGAAACGAAATTCGATCCAAGGAAGATCGAGTCAAATGGTTAAGCTACCTTTAAGTTTTAGGCATCATTCATCCCTATTCTCTTCAAAGGTCTCTGATCAAAAGTCGAAATCGTGCTTGGGTACATATTCATCATGGTATGCTGATTCGCAATTGCTAGCATTTCTGACTTTATGTTTTCGAGTTTAAGAGAACAATCCGAATTGAGGCAATTTTTTCTGGATTCACTCCGCCTTGTAGCCTTAATTCCTATTGTAATTTTTCATTGTATCACGTGTGTAGCCCAGTTGAGTGAGCTATAGCTTTAAATACAATAGCAGTAGATTTTTATAGAGATCCAAGAATAAGCAGATTGAGTTGGACGCTGAATTCTTGTGAGATCCAAGGACATCGAAGGTCCGCTTTCACGAGAACTCGAAGCATTACACAAGGGGAAATGCTAATAGGATAATATAGAATGAAAGCAGGGATATAAATTCATATCCTCTGAATGAGGTTGAAGTGAGCCCAGCTTCTAAATGCCAATATAAACAAAAGCGAGGCTCATCTCATCTTGTATAAACTGGTGGAGCTAGACACATCTTCTAGCTGGTCGAAAAATAAATTTCAGGACTTTTATGCATCAAATAACATAAAAATGAATTTAATAAAAATTAAATAAATTCAAAAATCAGTAGGGGCCATGTCACCACTTGACTTCAAGTGGCTCATGAAGGTCCTTTTTCTCATGGACCTTACGAGCTTGGATGTCTTCCTCCTGTGGGCTGAAGGTAAAATTAGCTTAGCTCACAATTCTCATAAGCATGGGAGTCGAATATCAATATTTTGTATAAATGTTACCTCTAAATGTAAGGATTTTTTAATCGATCACGTGGGCTTATATGTGAATTATTGTGTATTAAATTAAAGACTATTAATTTTGGTTAAATTCGTTTAAAATGATCTAATGAGGTTTCGGCATTTTCGACTTTGAAGTATCTAATTAAAGTGTGAGCTTTATGTGTAGAGATTATGTTTGTTCCTAATTTCGTGAAGGGTTAGTATATATATACAGCTATGGCTTTCGTATCACACGTGAGTAATTGTTCATTTTGCTCTGACTCTCATCATCAGAGAGAAATAAAGGAATGTGTTGATTTGGAAAAATAAAATCGCATGACTCGATCGTTGTATTAACCACGTCTGATTCAGGTATGCTTTCGCTTTGATTTATAAATTCTTGCAGATTTAACATGAAAGATCATTATGAAAGTAATAAGTTTTTCCAACAAGTGGTATCTGGATCTATTAATGTTGAATAATTGAGAATCAAAATTTTAATTTGGTTCTTGTGGAAATTTCATTGTTTTCAAATTTAGCAATTCCGGATTTAGCCTTTTTGTTGAATTTGAAAAACTTTTCGGCATGTCTTCCATGATTCGATTAAAAAAAAAAAAGGAATTTCCTGCAATCGACGCGCTGTCGCGATTGCTGCACCACGCGCGGCGATGGACGTCGCTACAACAGTTTGGAGCACTCAAGCGCTGTCTCCAGTCATCGAGGGGCGCACATGAAGCACCATGCCCATCGTCACTGCAACAGCTTGCAACACTCAAGCACTGTCTCCAGTCATCGAGGGGCGGTGCTCATGCGCAGCATCGTGCACAATGGCGATGGACGCCCCTGCAAGCTGGCGTAGCATCGTGCACAGCGACGATAGACGCCACTGCAACAGCTTGTAGCACTCAAGCGTTGTCTCCAGTCACCGAGGGCGGTGCTTGCCGTGTTTCTTTTGGATTTAGGGTTTGGATGAATTTTTGGGGGGCATGGCCTGAGCTAAAAATTTGATAATTTCATGTTCTTGTTTGTAATTTCAAATTAGGGTTATGATTGCAATTTTAATAATGTCTTTTTAATAATTCAATCCCTTAAATTTAAAGTTCATTCAATTGGGCTTTTAAAGTTATGTGTTTAATAATTCAGTTTTTAAAGTTTGAAAATTAATCAATTTGGGCAATTAAAGTTTTGAATTTTGCAATTAAAACTCAAGTTTCTAATTTGTTCAAATTGGTCCTTAAAATTTTGAATAATAAATTTTTGCCCATAAAATTTTGGATTATTAACCCTTAGACCCCTGAAGTTTCAAAATAAATAAAATATGCAAATTCGGTGATTTTCTTTTCCAAATTTTGGTACAATGGATTCTTTTGAGAGGTATAATATTCGAAAGTGAATTAATTGAAGCAATATGTTGCCAAATGAACCTTTCTTGTGGAAATTAATTAACTTAGAATACTAAAAAGTGTTTGTATGTGTGTTATTTATGAAAATATTTGATCAGTCCAAAAGAATGTCAATATTTGACCGGATTGCACATGTGATGATAAACATGTAACGATTATTTGGTTTAACATGTGATCAATAAATTGATCCAAAGAAATATTTATTGATTTGACATGTTTCTTTATTGTCAGTGTTTGATCACTATATTAGAGTATCACTTACAAGTCAATATTTCTGTTCAAAGACTAAATATTGATGTTGTATTAAGTATCTTGTGATGGGCCATATCATTATTTAAAATTATTATTTGCATATTAAGGATGTTTATGTAAGCTGGCCCAATTAACCGTTCTCTAATTCAGTTTCAGGTTCTGCTGCTAATATCTCCGCCAACATCAATTCCATTCCAATGCTTAATGGCACCAACTTTAAGGCATGGCGAGAGAACGTAATGATTGTTCTCGGAGTCATGGATCTGGATCTTGCTTTACGGGTCNTGGATCTGGACCTTGCTTTACGGGTTGATCAACATGCTGCACTTACGGATAAGAGTACTTCTGATGACAAGAGGGAGATGTAAAAGTGGGAACAATTGAACCGCATAAGTTTGATGGTCATAAAATGTGCTATTCCGAAGCTTTTCAGAGCGCTATGTCCGATAAGGTGACTACGACTAAGGGTCTTCTTGAGAACATTGAGGCGAGGTTTGTCAAGAATGAAAATTCTGAAACTAATACACTTTTGAAAAACTTTATCTCAATGAGGTATAAAGGAAAATGAAACACACGGGAGTACATTATCGAAATATTGCTTCAAAACTAAAGGCATTCAAGTTGGATTTATCTAAAAACTTGTTGATGCACTTGATTCTGATATCCCTTCCGATACAATTCAGTTAATTCAAGATGATTACAATTGTCAAAAGGACTCATGGTCTCTTAATTAGCTCATCTCACAGTGTCCAAGAAGCGGAAATATTGAAGCATGACAAGACAGAAAGTG